AAAGTTCTGGAAGGAAAACTCCAGTCCAAGGAAGTTAACTACAACCAGAAAAACATAGAAAATAGATAATCCCACTTTACCAACACCTAAAAGAGAAAAGGGGGTGGAAATCCACATACAATTCCACCATTCCAAAACAAACGAGGACGAGCAATCAAAGGTCATTAATATCCCTCAGTATTAATGATCTTAACTCACCCATAACAGGGTACAGGCTAACAGAATTGATTCGAAGACAGAACCCATCCTTCTGCTGCATACAAGAAACACACCTCAGACTCAAAGACAGATATTACCTCAGAGTTAAAGTTTGGGAAAAGATTTTCCAATCAAATGGTCCTAATAAACAAGCAGGGTTCGCAATCCTTTAAACTGAAATCAATCAAAAGACATGAAGGAGGTCATTTTGTATTCCTCACAGGAAAAATACACCAAGATGACGTATCGATTCCGAACATCTGTGCCCCAAATACAAAGGCATCCACATTCGTAAAAGAAACATTACTAAAACTCAAACCACACGTAAAACATCACAACTTATAGTGGGAGATTTCAACACTCCACTGTCACCACTAGAAAGGACTACCAGACAGAAACTTAACAAAGAAACAAAAGACCTAATAGAAGTATGGCCCAGTTGGGTTTGACAGATATCTATGCAACATTCCATCCAAACACAAAAGAATATACCTTTGAGTCTCTAAAGAAAGAAATTAAAGAAGACACCAGAAAATGGAATGATCTCCCATGATTTTGGATAGGCAGGATCAATGTAGTAAAAATGGCAATCCTGCCAAAAGCAATCTACAGACTCTATGCAATCCTCATCAAAATTCCAGCACAATTCTTCACAGACCTTGAAAGAACAATTATCAACTTTATATGAAAAAAACAAAAAACTCTGGATAGCCAAGACAACCCTGCTCAACAAAGCAACATCTGGAGGCATCATTGTTCCTGAGTTCAAACTCTATTATAGAGCTGTATTCCTGAAAACAGCTTGGTATTGGCACAAAAATAGACAGGTAGACCAAGCAAATCAAATTGAACACTCTGTGATTAATCCACAAACCTATTAACAGCTGATCTTCGACAAAGAAGCTAAAATTATACAATGGAAAAAAGATAGGATCTTCAACAAATGGTGCCGGCATAACTGGATATTGGCATGTAGAAGACTGCAGATAGATCCATGTCTATTGCAATGCACAAAACTTAAGTCAAAATGGATCAAAGACCTCAACAAAAACCCAGCCACACTGAACCTGTTAGAAGAGAAAGTGGGTGGTACTCTTGAACGAATTGGTACAGGAGACCACTTCCTGAATATAACACCAGCAGCACAAACACTGTGATTGACAATTAATAAATGGGACCTCCTGAAACTGAGTAGCTTCTGTAAGGCAAAGGATACAGTCAGCAAGACAAAAAGGCAACCCACAACCCCAGACCGACAGTGGGGAGGCCAGAATGGGACTGATCTGGACCCCCCAAATGTGAGTGTCAGTGAGAAGGCCTGGGCAACCTATGGGGCTCTGAGCTGTGGATCAGTGTCTATCCCTGGTATACAATCTGTCTTCATGTGCCTATGGCACAAAGAGAGATGCTCTCTCAGCCTGGACTCTTAGGGGAGTGCCTTGACCCTACCAAGAGTGAAATGATAGACTCTAGACATCCCCTATGTGGAGGGATTTGGCAATAGGGTGGGAGGGAGGGTGGAAGGGGAGTGCGGGAGGAGGGGAGGGAGAGGGAACTGGGATTGACATGTGAAACAAGCTATTTAAAATTAAAATAAAAAATGATTAAAAAAAAAAAAAAAAAAAAAAAAAACAAAAGTAACGCCCCATTACCTAGTTAAAGTAATATTGTGCAGCACATCTTTGCCCAGCTAAAATAACATTCCAGAACACAATCCCTTACATCACAAAAAAAAAAAAAAAAAGGCAACCCACAGATTGGGAAAATATATTCACTAACCCCACATCCAAAAGAGGGCTGATCTCCAAAGTTTACAAAGAACTCAAGAAGCTACTCTACAAAACATCAAAGGACCCAATTAAAAAGTGGGGGACTGAACTAAATAGAGAATTCTCAATAGAGGAGTCTAAAATGGCTGAGGAAGACTTAAGAAAATGCTCAACATCCTTAGCAATAGGGAAATGCAAATCTAAACAACCCTGAGATATCATCTTACTCCTGCCAGAATGGCTAAAATCAAAAACATCAATGACAGCTTATGCTGGAGAGGATGTGGAGAATGGGGAACATTTGTCCATTGCTGGTGGGAGTGCCAACTTGTACAGCCACTTTGGAAATCAGTATGGAGATTTCCAGGAAATCTCAGGAAAATGGGAATCAGTTTACCACAAGTCCAAGCAACTCCACTCTTAGGCATATATCCAAAAGATGCCCATTCATACAACAAGGAAGTCTGCTCCACTATGTTCATAGCAGCATTATTTGTAATAGCTAGATCGTGGAAGCAGCCTAGATGCCCCACAATTGAAGAGTGGATAGAGAACATGTGGTACATTTACACAATGGAGTATTGCTCAGCAGAAAAAAAAAACAACGGAACCTTGAAATTTGCAGGTAAATGGATGGCACTAGAAGAAACCATCCTGAGTGAGGTAACCCAGACACAAAAAGACAAACATGGTATTACTAACTCATATATGGATTTTAGACATTGATCATGGGAGTGTCAGCCTACAATCCTTGGGCCAGTGTGTCTGGGAAACAGGGAGGTTACCAAGAGATATGCATTATATCCCAGAGAAGTGGAAAGAGTCAAGATCTCCTGAGTAGATTGGTGACATGGGGGGAGAAGAGAGGGAACCAGGAAAAATAGAGGTGGATAAGAGGAGGGTAGAAGAAGACATGGGGAAGGAAGAAGGTTGAGTCATGGTAAGAATAGAGGAAACCAGGATGAGAGATACCATAATAGTTGGAGTCATAGCTTTGAGGGGAGAGATGACACTAGTGAGATTTTCAGAGATCTACAAAGATAACACCAACTGGGAAACTAAGTAATAACTGAGAGACTACATTGATAGCCCCTATCTGATGACAAGGTTGATGACTACCTTATATGACATCCTAGAACTTTCATCCAGTGACTGATGGAAGCAGAGACAGATACTCACAGATAAACACTGACCTGGCCCCCTGGAATCCAGCGACATAGTTGGAGGAGTGATGAGCTAGGTGGTCAAGACAATGCTGGTGAAACCCACAAAGACAGCTGACTGGACAAGGGGGAGCTCTTGAACCCCAGACTGATGGCTAAGAGGTCAATGGGGCACTGATCCAGATTCCATGAATGTAATGTCAGTGAGTAGGCCTCAGAAATCTCTGGTGCCTTGGGCAGTAGATTAGTGTTCACCATGGCATACAAATGAATTTTGGGAGTCCATTCCATATGGAGGGATGCTCTCTCAGCCTGGATACATGGGGAAAGGCTTAGGTCCTGCCCTGGTTGAAATGACAGACTTTGGAGGTCCCCACAAGGAGGTCCTCATCCTCCCTGGGGAATGATGTGGGCACTGGGCAGGGGCTGGGGGCTGGGGGCTGGGGGTGAAGCTGGTGGAGGGAAAAGGATGGGGAGCTGGGTTTGACATTTGAAGCATGCATGTTTCATAAAAAAAAGAAAAGCTGGCTAGAAACAAGCCAAACAAAAGAGAAAGGAAACCAAGAGTCAGACTGAATAAAAGGATTCCTGAAAAAAAAATCTTATCCATCAACATCAAAGCCACAGTCTGAATAATAACCACCATGCAACACAGTTTGGGCACATTATTCCCTTCCCTGGTCACCTGTTGTTTTTTTACACAGCAAAATCTTCCTCAGCCCCATTGTATCAACTAGAACAAACTAGGCATGTATTAACCTTAAGGATTGTGATCTTGCTTTCCCCCCCTTGCTCTTCTTCAAGACATTTTGCTTGGGCAATTCTATCAACTCCTCCATAAGAAATTTTCACCCATATTAACAGGTCCTACCTAATAATTTTTTCCTGTAGCACACATTGCATCTCATCTTACTATGTTTTAGTTATGTTTCTTGCTTCTATTTTCACTTCATCTTTCCATTATCAAATATAAATCTAATTAGTTATTGAAGAATGATTGGTTCTTCATACTTCCATTCACAGATATTTTCCTAAGTGCTTAAAACAGAGTCTATTCCAGATTGGGAACCCATGAAAAGCTTTTTAACAGAGTGAGTGACATGACAGTTATTGCATTGAAGTGAGGAAGGTATCATTTATACATATCTCACTCCAGTGCATAAAAGGACTCTTGTAATGTTTAGTTTTCTTCTGATTTGATCTGATTTCTTTTAGTAAGTAACTAAGTTGTTTTAAGTCTTAACGGTTTATAGATTTTTTCCCATTCTGCAATGAAATTCTTTCTTTGAGAGATTTTCCACATATTCTTTATTGAATAATCAACATTTTAAAAATTACTGTTCATTTTGAGCATTTCTTTTCTTCTTTTTCTTCAGAATGCCTCATGATATTTTCAGGAAGCCAAATACTGTGTGTTCTTAAATATGACACACTCAAAATACACTATCTCAAAGGTAGTTGAAAACAAACTCAATAGATTATCCATGCTTTGCTTTTTATGTAAAATATCCTTACTGAATTTAAGAAGCACTAATATCTTGTTATTTAATATGGAAATAACATATTGTAGATTGATATTAGCTTCATTGTTGTCATGCAAATTCCAAAAGTGAAATAGGGCAGACAGTTTTGTAGGACTCCATTTTGATGGATAGTGTATTTTGGTGAGGCAAGAAGTGTTTTGATTCAAATTAATGTATCAAAATCAGTATTATCTGTTGTATCAGTTTGCTATATTAATCCAAGACCAAGAGGTATGAAATTCTGCAGAATTTACTTTATTGACAAGTTGAAGGAACCAAACATACTGACCTACATAAGACCCACATAGAGAAAAAGATGTGTTTTATTTTTTTATGGTTGTATGACATTTTCCAGAGAAAAATAAAAGCAGAAATCAAAAAAACAAGGGTGACAGGATAGGCAAGCTGGCACAAAACACCAGCTCTAATTCAGCATTTCCCATGATGCTTCAGGTTGATCTTCCCAGAACTTTTCCTATGAAAAAGAGACAAATATATACTTAGTTCAATATCCATGTTTTTTTACAGAGTCCAGGGAGGGCAGTTTTAAGCATGGCAAAACCCATCCGATGATTGAGTTTTGTTGGTATGTATACTGCTAGTCATCAGAAGTAAACTGATTCCCTTCCTGTAACTGTGAAAGGAAGGAATCTTCGAGCAATCTCAGGGTTGGTTCTCAGAACTCTCAACACCCATTACTCATCATTGAAGAGTGAAAGGTAGAGGATGGATAAATGATGCCAATAAATAATAAGTCATAGTTCTGTCCTGGAAGAATATTTAAGAATATGAATGAAAACTTGACACATTTTGCATTTTATAGCAGACCCCACATGGAGGTTTTATCAGGTATATGTCCTTCCATTTATTCAAATCTCATCCTATACCCCCAACTTCTGCTGAGAAAAAATTTGTTATGAATTGCATAAATAGTTAATACAGAGATCAATATTGACATATTAAACTATTTTTGAATAAGAGAAAGTGGAGCTGGAAAGATGGCTCACTGTTTAAGAGCACTGGCTGCTCTTGGTGAAGAGCAAGGCTTAAGTCCCAGAACCCACATGGCAGCTTACAACCATCTGTAACTCTAGCTCCAGGGAGTCTGATATCTTCTTCTGGTCTCCTTGGGCACCAGCCATGTACATGGTGCACAGACATAAATGCAGGTAAAGCGCTTGTACACATAAAATAAAAATGAATAAATATTTAAATAAAATAATATGATGAAAATTATAAGAGTTATTAAAGGTAAATTGTTATATGCAAAATGTATTGTAAAGAAATCCCAAAATGCATTATGATAGGTACAACGTAGTTAAAGTGTTTTGAAATAATTTGTTTATTCCCTTTTGAGACATTTGTTTTAAACCACTTTATGGAAGTATATTTCTTTAATCTCCATAGGAGATATGGATAGAAAATGCTAGGCTATCCCAAGAAAATATTAGTTTAACTTTGGAAGTTTACGCTCATAAGATGTAGGTGTGGTGAGAACAATACTTACGCCAATGCCTTGCAGAAGGCACATTTATTTCCATATGTTTGGCCATCTGAACCACAGAGTGGGTCAGACTCCCGTGTGCAGAAAACCTTGGGGTCACGGAACTCACCACAATTAATCTACAATGGAAAAAGATTGTCACTAATATCATATCTAATAGACTAGTGGCTTGGAACAGAAGCTTAACGTAATGCATCCTGAAATGGATACTTAGTTAGAACACTTTGTTTCACATTTATAAATATAATGTTTTTATTAAGACATAGGAACATGAGAAATACATTATTACAATTATGAGTAAATTAATAAGGTCAAATTCTATAAGTAAGACATTTCTTTCGATATTAAATTGATGTAGTTGAAAATAGTTTTGTATAATATATGCCAATTCTTTCATAACATGTATTATGTTAATATATTCTAATAGAACTTCTGCATGCCACCAAAACATGGATGATCCTCGCAGGGGAGTTTCTAGGCAGTACTTGAAGCTTCCTGTGAATGCAATGTCCGTTTATATACTGAGAACAAAATTCTTTACACTAACTTGCTGACTACTATAGTATTTTGTTAATGACACTCTAAGCTAATGTGTTTAAAAGGATCTTGAGGTTTCATTCAGACTCATGAGAACATGTTATGTCTAATTAAGAACAGCTCTCATGGAAATTCATGGTAGTATGCTAATAACATATCCTATCCATTGCACTAATCAAAAATAATTTGATCAGTAGCAGTAAGATTCTTATTACTACAAGAGGAATAGAATTGATATTTGGTGTACTTTCATTTCCAGTATACTAACAACATGAAATATGTTGAACAGAACTCCTGCAAATATCAGGAACAACAGAGTGCCATTTACTTCCACTAGAATCATATCCTCACATCCTCACGTTTTTTTTTTCTGAGACAGAGTTTCTTTGTATTGTTTTGGAGGCTGTCCTGGAACTTGCTCTGTAGACCAGGCTGGCCTCGAACTCACAAAGATCCACCTGCCTCTGCCTTCTGAGTGCTGGGAATAAAGGTGTGTGCCACCAACGCCCGGCTACATCCTCACATTTTAAAATATCTACATAAAAGTTAATCAATTTCAAACATATGACTTCAGTTGAACCTGAAATGTCACTGAGAAGCATATTGAGTTATATTGGGCAGCAGGAAGAAGAGACTAGAGCACTTCTGGATTTGAGGACCACACCCATGCTTGAACATATCACTTCTCATTTTTGGCTCCATAATTTCCAATAATCTACTGAGGTTCAATAATAATATATCCTTACTGAGAGAATTAGACTTAGTGTCACTTTATATCCTTGACCACATTTATGATCAGGGCACATAGATTTCATTAATATAACTTGTCAGTTTTAATGAGCAACATAAATGCTTTAGATACTAAAATTGTATTGTATTAGAATTCCACTTAGCTGAGTATATTTGGGTTGTTGTTGCCATAAAACAAGCAAGGCTAATTATTTGAGATAATAGGTATATTATTTCACCATAGAAACATACCTTATACACAAATCTATGTTTTAGAAATAGGATAGTAGTGAAATCTATGGACCTTGGCAAGTCACTATCATATACTGACAAAACTGTCTGAATTTTGCATGGGAATATCCTTGATAGACATGAAAAATAAACACGTACATCAAGTTTAAGGTTCTTGAGAGTATCAACTGCATATTTTTGTTGAAACTTGCCATCTTGTATTGTTGAGGTGATGGAGTGTGGTACTGACTTTCCTCTCTGTGCTGAAATACCAACCCATCCTCTTATGTTCCTTCCATATCAATAATCTTTCTTTTAAGTTTTCAAATGGAATTAAATCTAGAAGATCTGGAGAACAGCATACACTTAAAACACATTTTATTCCTCAGACCTTTATGTAACTTAAATTATTATCATATGTGTTCACAGCTATATCCTTGAGACCAAAAAGAATGAACCACAGAGTTGTCTTTGATATTTCATTTGTTCCACAAATGTGCAATGAATAACCAATGATAGAAGGCAAAGTGTTAGGTGCTGGTCAGACAAGGAAGGGGTAATAAACAGTGTTTCTGCAAGCACACCATTGCATCTTAATCAGAGAGGAGAGAAGAGATAACATAATCATAGCACGATGTGTGACAAATGCTACAGGAGAAAAACACAGTTGTGTGCAAGCTGAGCAAAGAGCAGCTGGATCCAGAACCTCAGACAGTAAGAGAAATAAACAAGAAAGTCCCTTACTTTAAAGAGACGACCCCTTAAGACACCTTTCCTTGGTAATCGGCCCTCTGATCTTGTGATCCATCCTCTTTTGTCCTTTGGAAAGCAGATATAAAGACAGGCACTTGGGGAGAGCATTCACTTTGAGTATTTCTCATTCCCTCTGCCCTCCCCAAGCTCACTTACCACCTTCTGCTGCCCATTGGAAAAGATTAGGAAGAGCACAGGGTTGTAATAAACACATTCATACAGATCTGCTGGCATGTGAACAAGTTGTCTCACTGCTCCCAACCTGCTAATTTGTGGGATGCTTCAAGAACTCTGCAGCGAACTAGAACTTTCCAATATGCTCTAGAACTCTCTCTACTGTTGGTTGTGTTATCTTAAGTGAAACAATTCCTGTGTTTTTAATTAATTCAGTGAGGAAATCATCCCTCAGAGGCCTACCTTGCCTTGTTCCCAGAATCTCAGGGTCATCCAGAGACCAAATGTGGCATAGGAAATTTGTATTGTGGAATGTTTGAAATGGTCCTGGATTGGATTGCAGAAAGCAGCCTCTTTATGGGAGGCCTCTTCTTAAGGAAGCTCTGGGATATTTTTCTATTCACTTTGTATGATCTTTTCCATTATAGTCACTCTTCAGTGGCATTTCCAGCTCTTACCACATAAAGAAAAACATTAAGATTTATTATTGGCATGCCTTTCACCTGCCTGAATTTCTTCTTTTTAACTTGGCTGTAGGTTTCTGAATGACATTCAAATGATGGGCTTCTTAGTAGAAGTCAAAGCAGATCTAGACTGAGGAAGATGGTAGAGGTAGACTACCTCTATTCCACTTAGGTTCCATTCATGGTGCAGTAGGGTGCCAGGAGATGTGAAATACCTACCCTCTGGATCTAATGAAAATGAGTCCAAAGAGCTATGCTTTGAGGAGGTTGTTCTTCCAAATGGAATAAGACAGATTTGGATTTGAGTTTCGCCTCTCATACTTACCAGCTGCATAACATTGAGTTTAAATTTCTAACATATGTAGCAAGAGGCTGGAAACATCCATATATCAGACTTTCTAAAGTGTCCAGTTCTATGTGGAAGACTGTTACTACCAACAACAATCTGGTAAACTGTATTATAGCTCAGAATTCTGGTGTGATTGCTTTCCTATTATAATGTGATTTATTTTAATGTTAGTTGGATTGCTTTCAGGTTTAACAAGAAATACCATTCAATATTCTGTGATAGTCAAGACTTCTATCAGTGGTTTTTCCCAATATTTTCTCCCTCCCTCTCCCACACTTGATCACTCCTATTCTCAAGATGGGGGACATCTGGGGCGAGGCAGACACCTAGTGCAATGGAAACTCCATGGAATCCCGACAGTAACCCTAGCCAAGACTCCTAGACATGGGGGACACAGGAACCTGAATTGGCCATCTTTTGTAAACAGACAAGAACGCAAGTGGAGTGATTGGGACACCATCCTGTCCACAAAACTTTCCACCTGCAGTTTATCCTGCCTACAGTGTTCTGGCACTGGAGTCTAGGAAAATGGTCACCAAAGAGATCAAAGATACTTCATCCAACAACTGAGGGGTGTAGATCAGACAGAGTTCCACAGCCAAGCGTTAGGCAGAGCTCAGGGAGTCCTGCGGGGGTGTCTATGCAGGTGTCTGAGGAACTAGAGTGTTTATGAACACCAAGAGTCTACAGAATCAACTGACAAGGACTCATGGGGGCTCAAAGAGATCAGAAATCCTGTAGGAATCTGACCCAGATCCTCTGTATGTATGTCATGGTTGTATATCTCACTCTTCTTGTGAGATTCCTAACAGTGGAAGTGGGGGCTATCTCTGACTCTTTTACCTACTTGTGGGACCATATTCCTCCTACTGGGTTGCCTGGTCCAGCCTTGACATGATGGTATGTGCCTGGTCTTACTGTAGCTTGTTATGCCGTGTTTGGTAGATCTCCCTAGGAGGTCTGCTTTTTTCTGAGGGTAATTTTGTGGAGATGGTTGTGGAGTGGGAGAGATTGGGAGGAGGGGAAGAAGGGGAAACTGATGTCGGGATGTAATATATGAGAGAAGAATATGTATATAAAACTTCTGTCGGGGCCTTGGGTATTAATCTAAGTATTGCCCTGCCCCCATGTGGTTCTTCAAAGAACTGTTATCTCCTAAAATTTTTCTGGAATGGTATGACATTTCAATACTCACATTAGTAGTTTTTATTGAGAAAATAGAATTATTTAATTTCATTGTAATTTGAGCACATATGCTCATAAGGGCAATTAAAGCCTTCGGATGATTAAAATTTTAATCATATTGAGGTTACAAGTCAAGCCAATGAAAATGTGCATCCTCACACATGCGCACATGGACTTAAGAGGGAAGATGATGTCTTCTGTTCCTTGCTGAGAAACATTTGCAGTCAATTCCAACTCCATCCATGATCAATTCCAGCCTTCTTAACCCATCTCTATCTAGAGCAGCAGTTCTCAACCTGTCCATCATGACCCCTTTGGGGTGTAAAATGACTGTTTTTACAAGGGTCACTGAGATCCGTTTGCCTCTGCTCCCCAAGTGTTGGGCTTAGAGGTGTGGGCCACCAATGCCCAGAAATATATGCAATTCTTGATCTTCAAAATCTTTTTAAAATTCCTAGATTTATAATATGTCAGTTGCTTTGTTTTTCAGCTATTTCTTTTGTTTTTCCCTCCTTAATATTCCCTCTACAAATACATATTTTCTCGAATAACACTGATATGTCCAAAGTTTTTATTTTGAATTTTCTATTAATAATTCAATCTCTAATTTTCCTATGTCAGATGGTTAAGAAACCTGCAATTGGCAAATGGATGGCACTAGAAGAAACCATCTTAAGCGAGGTAACCCAGTCACAAAAAGAGAAACATGGCATGTACTCTCTCATATATGGATTTTAGACATAGATCTGGGGAGTGCCAGCCTACAATCCCATGGCTAGAGAGTCTGGGAAACAGAAACTTCATTCAGTGGCTGATGGAAGAAGAGGCAGACTCCCATGGCTAAGCACTGAGCTGAACTCAAGAAATTCAGTGACAGAGAGGGAGGACTGATGACCAAAGGGATTAATACTGGGCTGATTTAACACCCAGAAACAGCTGACCTGACAAGGGTTAACTCTTGAATCCCAGGCTGATGCCTGGGAATCCAGCATGGGACTGATCAAGACCCCATGAATGTGGGTGTCAGTGAGGTGGCTTAGGTAATCTATTGAGCCTTGGGTAGTAGATCAGTATTTATCCCAGGTATACAAATGGACTTTGGACTCCCATCCAACAATGAGAGATGCACTCTCACCCTGAACTCTTGGGGGAGGGTCTAGGCCCTGCCCTGGATGAAATGACAGACTATGGACACCCCCATGGAGGGCCTAACCCTCCCTGGGGAAATGAGGTGATATTGGGGGGGGTTGGTGGGAGGGCACCGGAGGAGGGGGAGGGAAATGGAGAGGGACCTGGAATTGACAAGTGAAGCAACCTTGTTTCTAATTTCAATTTAAATTTAAAAATGAAAAATACATATAAAAATGTTTTAAATATACAAAAAAGACACCTGCAATTACTGGTTTAAGTCATAGTTAAGATTTTTTCCTTTGAAATGTTTTCTTTTCTTTCTTTCTTAACTTTACTTTGCTAATTCTGATTTAGTACCTGTAAAAATCCTTAGAATTTTTTGTCTGGACCAATACCACAAATTCAGTTCTATATAAGAGATTGCCTACTGATATCAAGAGACATGATACTTTAAACTATGGCTTTCATCATATTCCTTGCATAAGACAGGATGACAATAAGTGTCACATCAGGTTCTAGGGAATAGTACTGCTCAAAGCCTTTTACAGAGACAACACGGTGGCTCTTCACTTTTGACTACAGCTAAGCCAATACGGCAGACACAGCAGTCCTGGGATTTGATTCTGCCTACTTCCTGCTGCTGAAAAGACTTAACCCACATTCTTTTCACCAGTCTTCAAGGTTTTGTTCCATCTGTGGTTACAGGGTGGATACTCTCTAACACCTCCAAACTACATTTAAATATCCACAGTGCATTAGTTTTAAGTAAAAATCGAGGTAATTGGAGATACAAGAACCTCATCTTAGTAGTAGAATGTTGTTTTATAAATGTTCTACAATTAATCATTCTTTATCTTGAAATGCAATAGTTATTATACATTACACAGAAGAAACAGCTGCTAGGGCCATACATTTAAACTTCCAGCCTGGAAAGTGAAAATGGTCGGAAAGAAGGAAGCATTCATTCTATCTGGAGCCTAGGCTTGTCTGGTATGGTATTCATTACCTAAACCAGGTTAACACTAAAATTAGATGATCCTCCTGTCTCAGCCTTCCCAGAGCTGAGGTTACATATATGGATGTGACAAAACACTCCCTGATACCATAAAGAATGGTTGTAAAAGAACACGAAATTTGTAAAGGCCTGTAATTAAGAGTGTGTACCATAATCTCCCAGAAGATGTGTCATGGACAAAATTCCCTAAATTTTGAGTGCTGGGGGAAAGCTGTCTTCCTTTTGTCTTGGCTGGGTCTGGCTTGAGCCAGCATGCTCCTACTGTCAGTAATTCCTTCTGCCCCACTCTCCCTTTCACCATGAAGACGGAAGAATAAGGCCGCTTAGGTGTGGTCTCGAAGGGCAGAACCTTCCTTGTATTTTATAGTTCCAAGGCAGCAGCTTTAGCAATGCAGGTTTGGTTCACAATGATTCAAGTATTTAGTTCATGAAGAGGCTTTGGATAGCACTGTATCTTATCCTTCATCTTAAAATGTGAAAATGGAGGTGATGATAAGGGAAAGATATCGGCCAAAGCACATAACAAGTAACTGTAAATGAGGTTTCAATCGCCTGTATGACTGACTTCAAAACAGTGCTCCTCAGTCTAGCTTGGTTATATTTTTTTCATTGCTGGATTTTACTCTGTGTAGCTATCATCTGTACAGTCGTTTAGAATATAGATCCAAACTCCTTAACGATTCAACTCTTACTGAACATCTTTGATGAGGGACTGTGTATTTTATGTCAGGTGACTCTGAAGCAAACAAACCGTAAGACTTCAACCAATGGAAAAGAACAGGATAAATAAATCGTAGATGTATATACACAGTATAAAATACAACTAAACTCTCAGAAATGTAAATCCCAAGAAAACAAGTGACCTGAGGGTTAATGAGAAAACGGGTTCAATTTCAGATATTTTACATTTATCTGCAATACTTATATCGTCTTATTTTACAGTCCAAGGGGATATGAAACACATTGGCTGAGTTGTAGGACCTTTATATTTGCTTCTAAGTTTAGTATAAGTTGTAGCATAACACTTATTTAGCACATATAGTTTAGGATATACAGCTTAATATAAGAACACAAACACATACGTGTTGGGTATATAAATTACATGACACCATCAATTTTAAGATGAATCTAAATTTATGACATAATAAAATAAACTCTTATAAATATAGTGCACATAACAGAGTTGAAAAGTAGTTTTAAACTTTTTTTGCATGCCCAAGCAGTTGACAACATTGTCTGGAAAACTGATGCCAAGAGTTCTTTGATATGCTAAGATTTAAAAAGCTGGTAACCAAATCAAGTGGAAATGCTTGACAGTAACACAGGACCAACAGGGCAAGCAGCATTTGTTTGTAGAAGTTTCCAATAATCAGTTCAAAAATACATAAAAATTGCTGTTGAAAAAAATCTAAGAGAAAAAAAACTTAATGAAGAAAATCTATGCCCATTTTGGGTTTTAATCCCAACTTGCATTTAAATTTGAATGCTGCAGACCGTATACCTTCCATTCACAAAATTATGTTCATTTCTTATTTCTGTAAACATAAAACTAACAAACAAAAACCCCAAAGTTCTTTCTTCTAACTCTATTAGAGGGAGTTACAGATCAGTAACTGATTTACACAGAATGTTTACAGTTTTCCTAATGATTTACCCTCTTTGTTCAGCTTAATGGTAATTGTAATTCTATAGGGTGAATTAATGCTTAATTTAACAGCCGTGATATTTGCAACCTTGAGAACTGAGAAACTTTTCAGCTCAATAGCCTGTTTATATTATGAATAGGACATAAACTTTATTTACTATCCATCCTATGCTTGTGTATGATCACAGCACCCTGACAACGTATAAAAATATTGTTTTAATCTGATTTAAACTTAAAATTGTATACCATGAGAAAATCTAGTTTAAAATCTCATTGTTCCATCTGATTTCTCAATTTGGCCTTTCTGTTCACTTTCTCCCCTTTTGTTCATAGCATAGACAAACCTCTTTTTAGCAATGGAATATCAGTCATATTCTACCTAGGCACAAAAGTACTAATGAACGGGTACTCACCTGCCCTCCTTGACTGAAGGCACCTGAAAAAAGCACAAATTCCAAACACTGTGATTTCTGAATGTGTAAAAGGGAAATCTACAAATTTAGCACAAATATGCACACATCTATCTGGCTGTTGGCCATGTCATGAAGCCTCAAAGTGTCTTATTTTCATGTATGTTCATGCCTTAGGGAGCAGTAGACTATGAAGGGACACATTTGCTGGGAGTTATGTTTAAGAGGTCACTAAAGATTTAAGATCTAGAAATTAATGTCACAGCTTTGGCCTTGCTTTTTGTTCACTATGGGAATGACTTTATTATCTCTGGCTCCACTTCATATTAGTGGGGTTGGAAGGAGTACCCTAACCAGCATCCCAAGGTACAAACCTTGACTCTCCTGTCAAAAGAATGTGTCTTGGGCAGTAGGGAAGTTAGGAATTTACTGAAATTTTTTACTGAAACTCAGCTTTAAAGATATGACCCAAATATGCATTCTTAAAGACTGATCCGCCCTCTTGCCATGTCTCATTTTCTGTGACTTCTCTACTTCTCTAAGTTTCTGAAGATGGGTCCAGGTGGTGTTTTACTTCTTACTCTCTTCTTCCTTCTTAATATTAACATCCACGGTTTTTGGTGTATGATGCTTTGATGCAGCTGTGAATGCACCAACACTTTTCTTGCGTGTAAACCCAAGACTTCTTCAGTGAGGAAGTACCAACTGATCCTGCTGCCAACATGGGCCAGTACTCAGTGATGATGTGCAGATGCACTACCAAATGCAATGCATTATTGGATGTAGGAGAATCCACAGCTTTTAAAGTTTATATGGGCCTTGCCATCTCTTCTAGAAGCTGTACCAGAAGCACTGATTCATAATTGGCAGAGTAAGTGATTATTATGAGCACAGAGCCTTCTGCTGGCTTCTTTGAAAGTTATGTCATAAACCCAGATGCACCTAGGGTTCTGTGTTTCGTTAATCCTGGCAGTAATATTTTATGATCTTGGAAAATTAATTCTACAATTTCAGTCAATATTTCACTTTGAAAAGTCTGTATTGGTAAGAGGAAGGATTTGCCCACTATTCCATATTTAGGAAACAGCAAGGCAAGAGGTAGACTCATATTGACAACACTTAAGAAAAATTACCTTATTTTATTTTAATTACGACATTACTATAAGGCATTTGTTGAACAATTACTGTGTTCCAACTACTATGTCAAGCTCTTTGTATCAGCTTTTCTCATTTAATTCACCATATAGAAGTAGTTATTTTATATTTTCATTTAACATATGAAGAAAGAAAACTCAGAAATGTTAGAGCTGAATGATGGAAATGCTAGGACTTAATTTTCTCAGTTTCAGCATTAGCTTCCTTGAGCACAGTACCCCATAATTGACCTCTGATGTGTCTAGGAAGCATCTATGCTCTGGAGAAAGTACATTTGTAAACTGCATCTTGTTAAAGTACAACTCTACAAAGATAAACTACAAAGGATGACAACTGACTTCAGGGGCTAAGTTGTAACAGGTCTAACTTTCTCCTACCTCACAAAAGATTTTTGAGTAGTTTTAAGTCAAACTTTTTCAGCAATATTACAGGAATCTTCCATCTGTATTTTAGTATGTATTTTAACAAGAATTTGTTTCTGTGAATATGACAAACTAGAGTGAGCTTTCTCTATCAACTTAATATCACTGGAAATTTAAAAAGTCTTAATTAAATTGAAAACATTGAAGACAACTAAATTTATCCTAGAAAATGATACATCACCCATGGAAGCCTACCTCCCACCCATAGCAGAGTTTAGTCTCATCTCTGAGCATTTCCACAGGAAACTGTGTCTCAGAGAAGTCATAGAATACCAGTGGGAAAGATGGCACAGCAATGGGTCAGTTTACCACAGTGGATACTCTGTGTTCTAACAGACATATAAGGAGATAACAAATAGAAAGGCTGTGTTCATCAGGGGGTTCCTTTGATTCAGAAATTCAGTCTTTTGATCTCCACATGAATGGTACTTCACGGTGTGGCTTTGAATCACCTAAGTTGATAAAATGCTTATCTATTGCTCATATAAGTGGCCCAAGATATTGTCTGTCTGCTTGAGTAATAGTTTTCTTTTCTTATTGCATGTGCTTATTCTCTCCAAAGCTCCCTAACTTCTTTTTAAAGTTTTCCACACTTAGTTTCTGTCCCCTCTCCTGTTTCAATTTCAATTATTTGAGTCTTTTTGAAGTAATTAAAAGGACAGAAAAGTTTTTCTGAAAGCCAAGATTAGTTTTAAGGCCAACTATTCATCTTCTCAACTTGTACTTACAAATAAGCATCAACTGTGATGTCTTTAAGACCTCAACAAAAACTATGTCTACTGACTCGTTATAATTTCCTTTTCCGCGTCACAGTTTCTTGTATGAAAAACAGAGTTCTGATATCCTTGCAAGAGAATCAAAGGTAATCTATAGCAGCCCTTAGTACAAGGCAAGGGCAAAGCACATGCTCTGGGAATGACACTTCTTATAGTCCACCAACATCATTGTCATCATCACTGTTACTGTCATCATCATTATCATATTTTCCCTTAACTGCTCTTTCACATAAATGTCATTAGAATTTTGTAATGTGAGGAAGGTCTACTCTTTTCCATTCTGGTTCCATGTAACTATGGGATGTTAGTTTTAAGAAAAACACTCACCTGAGAAAAAGCAGAGAAGAGCCAGAGAGAGGAGCAGGAAGGCACCTGCTATTTTCATGGTGCCAGCTATCTCACTCAGATCAAGGCTGTTTTGCTCAGCTTAGGTTCTCTGTCAAGACACTTCCAAAGAAACCTAGAATAAACAGTCAGACTTATATATAGAGAGAGACAGCAATGAAGGGAGTTGGGATCTCCACCTTCTTTATTAAAATCTCCTTCTAAAACCATATACAGTTCTGTTCACTTTAGGCATTTATGAGGATCGTCACCAGCTTAAAGAAATGCCTCATGTGCCCCATCAATCTTAAGGAAAACAATTATGTGAGTCGCACCTTAGATCTTATTAATGGAGGATGCTATTTTCTTCCAGTAACCTACATTTTCCTAACAACCAATACATCCCCCTGCTTGTTCACTCCAAGGCTCCACTATATTAAAGGGATGACTCACAGGTTGTGTTCTACTTCTCCTTATGTCTCTTACAGACAGGTCCTACATGCCTGTGGTCCAGATGAGTCACCACAAGGAAATGGAATTCCTGGGTGTAGCCTGGATTTTTCCAAGTCTTCAAGATGTACTTGAAGGAGAGAGGCATTCTTCATTGTTACCAGAACTTCATTAGAAGGAACAACATTTCAGGGCAGGCAGGAATAAGCCTGTCATTTTAAAACTCACTGCTGTAGTCAAAGGGCAGCGATTCCCAGTTTTTGAATTAAAAATAAGTCGATGTATTGTTTTCATTTTGTTAAAAGTATTGAAAAGTGACTGAATTGATAATATGAAATATAGAATGTTGAGTTCTTTCTTGATACTTCAAGCTAAAAATGAAAGTTATAATAGATAGTCTTAAGTGTAAAATCCTTGATGATATATCTTTATATAAGATAAATGGAACTAGTAAGCATATGACATACCAAAGGGTAAGATGTCATAACTCTTTACAGAGAACAGAAATATAAACAAAGAAAGTTACAGTCATAGTAGAAAATGCTGTCTTGAGACGTAATGTGCTATTTAAATTCAGTGAAGTAAATTATAACATATTAAGATAAAGGAAAGTTATGTAAAAGGTGCCCAAGTGAAACATGGGATAGTGGTGTAATCTCTTCATAAGTAAGCTATATGTTATATGTCAAATAATTGGTTTTCTCTTCATCATTTAAAATGTATATCGCATGTTCCATTTACTCAAGACATTTGATTTCCTTTTGAAAATTGCTTGAAATTTTAATTTGGTATATTTCAAGAGCCAGGATGAATTTTATGTTTTTCAAAATGATTGACAAACTATATTGGATTTGATCATCAAAATGTCATCAATTTGATCACTGGGAATAATAATTGTGCCAAAAGTAATTATTTTCATAGCTTTCCTGGTAATTATAAGAAAAGAACAATGAGCATGAAATAAACTCAATTTTGGCAAACAAATGTTGCCTTATATAAACTTTGGCCTAAGTTAATGCTTTAGTGTTTCATCTAAAAAAAAATGAAATATAGCTGTTTTTTTTTATTTTTGAGACAAGGTCTCACTATGTAGCACTGGCTGGTCTGGAACTCACTATGTAGATTAGGCTGGCCTCGAACTCACAGGAATCCAGCTCCTTCTCCCTACTCAATGTTAACATTAAAGACATTTTCCATCATGCCTCAATGGATTATTATGAATTTTATTTTCCAAAGTTTGCTTTCATGCTTAATAACTCCATGATATAAAGAACAAGTTTAGGTTTTGCTTCTAGATTGACCTGTGCTATATTATCAATGTCTTGCTCTTAGTAGACTGTGTATGTCTCCTGAAATCAATGGCTTATAGTTTCCCTTTTAATTATATTACAACCCTATTCACCAGCCTTAACCTTAGTGCTGTCTTTCCTTGGCATATTATTCTTATTTTCTTCAAGATAGATTAATGAATTGATTACGTAAAGGAATAGAATGACTTGCCACTGCTAAAATGGTCACATACTATTACAAGAGCTTATATAGTCTGTGGGTCAGAACAGAGTATTAAAGAAATTTTCAGTGGATATAAAAGAATTCAAATTTTCTCATTATATGTATATAATGTATCAGTGAGGCCACACCCAAACAGAAAGCTAACTCTCTTTCTCCCAGCGGTCATCAACAACCAATGGCTCCTCAGATAAAGATGAGACTTGCCCACTTCAGCATCATGCTGAGATTTTCTCATTTGAGTTTGCAAAGATCTTGTGTCTGCTGCTACAAACTCTGCACATTCTTATGTGCAGCTTCCCTGTTGTGGCTGGAAAATACTGCTTGGTGGTGGTCATAAATTGCCTCTGGTTCTGATAGTCTTTCTGCCAACTCTCCCACAATGTTTATGAAGCCTTTTGAGGAGGCAGTGTGATATAGATGTCCCATTCAGGACTGAGAATTCCACAATCCATTATTCTTCCCACCTTGACCTGTTGTGGAACTCTGCGTTAGTCTACATATACTTCAAAGAGAAGTTTCTATGAGGAGGCTTGAGAGATGCACTCATTTAGGAGTACAGTGATAAGTTATTCAAATTAAAAGTGACACAAATGGGACCTCCTGAAACTGAGAAGCTTCTGTAAGGCAAAGGACACAGTCAGCAAGACAAAAAGGCAGCTCACAGAATGGGAAAAAATATTCACTAACCCCACATCTGACAGAGGGTTGATCTCCAAAATTTACAAAGAACTCAAGAAGCAAGTCTCCAAAACACCAAAGAATCCAATTAAAAAGTGGGCTGCAGAACTAAATAGAGAATTTTCAATAGAGGAGTGTAAAGTGGCTGAGAGGCACTTGAGAAAGTGCTCAACATCCTTAGCCATCCAGGAAATGCAAATTAAAACAACTCTGAGATACCATCTCACTCCTGTCAGAACGGCTAAAATAAAAATCACCAACAACAATTTATGCTGGAGAGGATGTGGTGAAAGGGGAACACTCCTCCATTGCTGGTGGGAGTGCCAACTGATTCAGCCACTTTGGAAATCAGTATGGAGGTTCCTCAGAAAAATGGGAATAAACCTACCACAAGACCCAGCAACTCCACTCTTAGGCATATATCCAAAAGATGCCCATTCATACAACAAGGAAGTCTGTTCCACTATGTTCATAGCAGCATTATTTGTAATAGCCAGAACTTGGAAGCAACCTAGATGCCCCTCAACCAAAGAGTGGATAGAGAAAATGTGGTACATTTACACAATGGAGTACTATTCAGCAGAAAAAAACAATGGAATCCTGAATTTTGCAGGCAAATGGATGATACTAGAAGAAACCATTCTGAGTGAGGTAACACAGTCACAAAGAAAGAAACATGGCATGCACTCTCTCATTTATGGATTTTAGACATAGATTTGGGGAGTGCCAGCCTACAATCCCATGGCTAGAGAGTCTGGGAAACAGAAACTTCATTCAGTGGCTGATAGAAGAAGAGGCAGACTCCCACAGCTAAGTACTGAGCTGAACTCAAGAAAGCCAGTAACAGAGAGGGAGGACTAATGACCAAAGGGATTAAGACTGGGCTGGTTTAACCCCAGAAACAGCTGACCTGACAAGGGTTAACTCTTGAATCCCAGGCTGATGCCTGGGAATCCAGCATGGGACTGATCAAGACCCCCTGAACGTGAGTGTCAGTGAGGAGGCCTAGGTAATCTATTGAGCCTTAGGCAGTAGATCAGTACCCATCCCGAGTATACACACGGACTTTGGACTCCCATCCAACAATGTGAGGAGCACTCTCACCCTGAACTCTTGGGGAAGGCTCTAGGCCCTGCCCTGGATAAAATGACAGATTATGGACACCCCCATGGAAGGCCTCACCCTCCCTGGGGAAATGAGGGGGTAATGGGGGAGGTGGGGGGGAGGGTACGGGAGGAGGGGAGGGAAAGGGAGAGGGACCTGGAACTGACTTGTGAACCAACCATGTTTTTAATCTAAATTTAAACTTAAAAATAAAAAAAATTAATAAAAAATATAGAAAAAATAAAATAAAATAAAATAGCCAGGCAGGGCAGTGGTGACACACACCTTTAATCCCAGCATTTGGGAGGCAGAGGCAGGTAGATCTCTGTGAGTTCAAGGCCAGTCTGGTCTACATAATGAGTTCTAGGACAGTTGAAACTGTTTCATAGAGCAACTCTGTCTCTAAAAACCAAAAAAGAAAAAAGAAAGTAAAACAGCTAGAAAATAAAAGGAATGTAGATGCCTGTGAATTGATGAAGAGGTAATAAAAATTTGGTATGTTTATGTAATACACTATTATTCTTCTGTGAAAACAAATACATTATTTATGTGCTATGAAATCTATAGGCAAATGGGTGGACATTGAAGTAGTCATTTTGAGTGGGGTAACACCAGCTCAGATATACAAATGTGTTTTCTCTTGTTTAGGGATGTAAACTTTAAATATTTAAATATATGTGTTTCACTTGGAATAACCACAGAGGTTAGGAAACTAGTAGAATGCCACAGGGTAGCACTCAAGGGAAGAACGCTAGGACACAATGATGTAAAATGGTGAAGGGGGAAAATGGAACAGGGAGGGTTAAGTGGGATGGGGAATGGGGAGCAGAGTACAAGAGAGAAAACACAAAGTTAAATAGCACTAAGAAACTTCTGAAAGAGCCATATAAAAACTTGCGTGTAGATTTCCCAAACTATAAGCCCATGTATGTATAAAATTAGTCAAACTGGAATTACTCTATAATAGGGGATGTTACATCTAGATGCTGCAGTATCATAGATGGAAAAGATTGGTACACCTGTATAATACAATAGTTACATAACGAGGTTGACTTTCTGCAAGGAATTAGACAAGGATTCCCATGATACAATTGTTAATGAATAAAGATAGATGAGGTCACTTCGATAAATGATAGAGACACTGGGTCAGTTACTTCATTCATTACCAGGGTAATGAATGAAACCTGGAGGAAAAAACTTCTGAGGCAAGCAAGTCCTTTGTAACAGACCCAAATGAAGACAGAAAGCAGGATTTAAAATCTTGAGGGCATCTATCTACCTTTTCTCCCTTTTGACTCATTCTCTTGACATACATGAATAAACTTTAATTAAGTTTGTTTTCTTCATTTTGGGCAGTCTCAGTACACAGAGGTCTT